GACAGCGGCGGCCGGGCTGCCGCGCCGTCGGGCCGTATTTATTTGTCTGTGTGCGAGTGTGTGCGCGCGGGAGCCGGGGTCCCCGGAGCGCCGCGCAGGACCCCTCCTCGGCGGCAGGGTCCGGGTGGCCAGCCCCAGGGGAGCGGGATGGTTGTGAACTGCCGCGCCCGCCCTCCTCTGCTTCCTGTTCCCTGTGAGCAATAAAGTTGGACAAGGCTACACTACCGTCGGCTCTTTCTCAGGACAGCTGGGCTTTCAGTGGAGGAAGGGGTTGGTGCTCAGGCCCATAAGGTTGTCTGCGATCCTAAACGGGCTGTGCGGGCTTTGAGGTTCCCAGATGCCAGTGGAGGCAGAACCTCAGCCTTGGAAGGTCGATGGGGGTTTGGGTTGTTGATCACTGTAAGGAAGAACCATTTTCAAAGAAGAGACAAAGACACAGTTGGGGTTGTTGCCCATTTTATTTTTTAACATTTTATTATCAGGTTCTCGCATTTATCCCTTCCCTCCCATCTCTAGAGGCTTCCTCCTCAGGCTTCTTCACCTGAAAGGAGTTAACTCCATCACCTGACACCTGTCATCAAGCTGGGGCTTGTTCTGGGGCTGAGGTTGAGGAGGGCAGGGTGCTCAGAGCCAGTTCATCCTGGCCTAGGATGCCTCCTTGGTCCTCAGCAGTCAAAGGGCCACTGGACCCAAAGAACTTCACCAAGGCACGGACCTGTGGCAGCTCCGAGAAGGTCTCCACTGCCAGCAGCATGGCCAGGAGCCCCAGAAGCAAGTAACCTGGGGAGGAAAGTTGCTAGGGCAGCTTTTGGGGTGCCGATGATGCTCCCTGCATACCTCCTAGTCTGCTGACCCACCCTGGCACCTGATGGCACTCATAATTCTCTGCTATCTAAGTTCTCCCAACTACAATTGCCTCAGGCCCAGCCTCCCCCAGTGGTTTATGGGAGTTGTAGTCCAGGCTACTCTTCCCTCCTCCCCTCCCACTGGAGCTCCTTGGTGGCTGAACTCACCAAGAAGCGCGATCTGGCCAAGGTGGTAAAGTACTGGATTCAGGTCACGGCCACGACCAGGCAGCAGGTCCCCCAGGCCTATGGTGCTGAGTGAACCGAAGCAGAAGTAGATGGCCTCCAGCAGGCTGCGGCTGCCCTGCAGACCCCACAGCAGCACTGCTGGCAGCAGCACAAAGGTACTAGCCACTAGCAGGCCCAGTCCAGCTGCCTGCAGCAGCGCAGCCCTGGCTGGGGCCAGCTGCCAGCGGCCAGCTGCACAGGCAACCAGGGAGCTGAGCAGAGGCAGCAGGCAGTGGCGCAGTGTAGCCACAAGTGCTAGGGAAGCTGGCAGCCCCAGGGCCGCGTACACCACACAGAAGGCCTTCCCACCTGCTGAGAGTGGGGCCATGTGGCCATAACCTGAACAGGAGAAAGACAGTAGGCGATGAGCGCTTGAGTGCAATGCCTGCTGGGGTCCCCACTTCCCTCAACAAGCCTCAGCGGAAGGCTGCCCTCTAGTGGCTGAAACTGCTGGAACTGTTCAGAGCTCTGTCTGGCTCTCTCACTCACTGGGGAATCTTGGGCAAGTAACTTAACGTCTCTGGGCTACTCTTTTATTTTCTGGAAAAATGAAAGAATTAAAATAGACAGTATGTCCTCAGGCCTCTTGTAGCTGGGACAATTCTGAGAATTGCTGTCCTGCCTGAGAGTGGCCTTTCTGAGATTCCTCAGCTCTGCCCTTGACCAATACTTCCGCATCCACTGGGCAGGACATCACCCACATTTCATTCCCCAAATTATCCTGTGTGCTGGGCTTTGTGCTGAATCTGAGTCTGCTCAGGCCCTGCCATTTGGTGGGGGAGACAGGCAGGAAAATCTGTCAAGGCACTTGATATGAAGAGCTGCAAAAGAGGCAGCCTGCATGAGAAAGGGCATTCACTGCCAGACAGCATGTACAAAGCCAGGGAGAGGTGAGAGAGGGAGAGAACAGGATCAGCTAGTTCAGAGGTTGTAAACAAATGCCTGGAGGAGCCAGATGTGAGGCAAAAGGGAGTGGTGAGGACTGGGGTGCACCATAGAACATGTGCTCTGCCCAAAAAGGCAGGCCCTGTTCCACCCCAGCCAACATGTTGCCTTGCAGGAATTCTGGCTCAATGCAAATAGGTTTTCTGATTTTTCCCAAATAAGTTGGAAAACAGACTAATTTAAAAAAATATTTAGAGACTTTGCTGATCAAAAAACCGCACCAAAAACCCAGGGCTGTGGGTCCCATTTCTTTATTTCTTTGGGCCTTCACATATGCTGTTCCCTGTGCCAGGAATCCCTTTATCCCTTATATCTGTGCCTTGGCTAACGTCTCATCAAGACTTCCTCACCTAGGAGCCATCCCTCACAGTCTCTCCTGGGTCAGTGCTCCTAATCTGTACTCCCCAGGTTCACTCCATTTCCTCCCACCCAAGAATCCATCTCATAACGTGTTCCCTGCCTAGCTTCAGGCCCATGGGGTCTGGGCACCTCTCCTAGGTCTCAAAGGGTGCCTTGGGGTGGGGCTGGGGAGGCCACACCCCTCCTGGCAGCTGAAGTTGAGGCACCAGTTGGGGTGTGTTGGTGTGGCGAGCCCCAGCTGTGATGTCAGGCCTAATAGGGCCTGGGCTCTGTCTAGCACTTTGGAGCTGGGGGAAGCGCTGTACCCCCAGGGACACCAGGGAGTGCTGGAATCAGGAGCCCCTTCTGCCCAGCCACTGGGCGGCCTTACCGGTGGTGGTGAGGATGCTGGCAGTGAAGAGCAGGGCTGAGGGCAGATCCCAGTTCCCAGCCTCTGAGCCATTGACCAGGCTGGAGACCCCATGGGCCTGGGCTGCCAGAGCAGTGCCCAGCAGTTCCTCCAGTGCCCCAGTTGGCAGGCATGCCCCATACTCCGCCTGGAAAGTGGCCAGCTCAGCCCTAAGCTGGGCCTGGAGCTGGAGTGCTGGAGGCCTCTCCAGGGCCTGGAGCACCACAGCCCCAAGCCCCAGAGCCAGCAGGTGGGCCACAAGCAGTAGTCCATATCGGGCCCAGGGCCTCAGACCCCCCATGATGTGCTGCCTGGGAATCTGAGGTGTCCTGAGAATTGGCTGCTCCACCTCAGGCAACTGGGAGGGTTGGCAGGTGGGGCTGGGAGGAGGTGCTGTGTGGGTGGCTGAGAGTGAGGGAAGCCTGGAACATAGCTGGGGTGAGTGTGAATGGGAGGGAGAAGAGGGCAGCTCAGGCTTGGGGGTGAGCTGGATCACTCCTCCCAGTTTCTGCAGCCATTATTTGCCCAATTCCCCAAAGCTGGAAGAAGGCAAGGCCCAGAGAGGTAAATGACTGGCTCAAAATCACACTGTGGTGGTCCACTCAGGAGCACACTCACTCAGTCACACGCTCCATTCATCCACGCAGCAGTGGCTTAGATCCTGAAGACACGGGAAGGGGAAAGACAGGTCCCTTCCTCCCTGGTGTTCATACAAGAAACATGTTGGCAAGGAAACATGGCATGTTCACATTGTCACTTACTCCCTGAAGGAAACCCCTGGGTAATGGGAGGGAGCTCTGGGGGAGGGGAATCTCACTGGGAAGGCCCCTGTAGGAGTGACATTTCAGCTGGGGGACAGGAGAGGCCAGTCAAGGTGGGAAAGAGATGGGGCATGAGAGGAACCGGGAGCTGGCTGTGGGGTAAGGACACAGGGCCTTGAGGACAAGTGTGACCCAGGGGACCTATTGTGGGTGCTGCTGTTGGTATCCTGGATGGAAGGTGGTGGCCTGGGCAGCTGAGTGGAGAGGAATATGGGATTTGGGATGGGGCTCGTGGGGACGGGGTGGTATAAGGAGTTGAGGACACGCAGAGTGCCCTGGATAGACAATGCTCTTGGGTCTCCATTCCAAGTCCTTCCCGGTAACCTTTTGTGCCCCACCCTCCTGAACACTGGAGACACAGTGAGTCTGGCTGCCATGGAGTATGAAGCGGAGGGGAGCCCAGACTGGGACTCCCATAAACTGCTGAACCCATGGTAGTAAGGGAAGTGTGAATGGAACCAGATGCCAGGGTGGGTCACTTCTCCTGTGTCGAGACCCTGGGACAGACACAGCCAGGACAAACCCCCAAAATGCTGCCCAGAGGGCTGTGGGTTCCTGGGTTCAGCAAGCATCCAACTGGCCCCAGAGGATAAGCAGGGACCTTCCGGCAGCAGGACTAAACAGGGTGAAGTCACTTGCAATGGTGGGGAAGGCCTGGCAAGGGTGGGGAGGCGGGAAGGGTGGGAAGGCCTGGCAAGGGTGAGGCCAGTTTGTGTGGGTGCCAGGGAGGCTGACAAGGGCCTTGAATGCCTGACTGAAGCTGGTGGACTTGATCCCAGGAGAGGGGTGTGGTGCAAGCCACCAGCCTAGGCCCAGGCCGACTGCCCGTTGTGCTGGGGGCATGAAGTCACCCTGGTTACTTCCAAGAAAGGTGACAGGCTGTGCTTGGGGAGACAGCTTGAGGAGTTTATTTGGCTTCATTGGATCCCGAGGCCGAGGCCCCAACCCTGGCCAGGGCAGCAGGAAGACGCCTAGAGAACCCTGGCCCCAGATGGCCCCAGGGCGGGGGGAGGGGTCCAGGCACTAAGCCCTGGGGCAGGGGCCACAGTAGCAGGACTTGGTCAAAAGTGTTGGTGACAGCTGAGGCCAGGCCCTCTCCCTTGCACCTCCCCTCCTCCCTGCACTACCCCTGGGGGCAATTCCCTGAGACAGGCTATGGTCCTCCCAACCAGCTGGGTACAGTGTCAGGCCCCAGTGGGGCAGGTAAGTCGGGGGACCCACAGGTTGCAGGTATGTGGGGGGGTACAGGCCCCCCATCCAGTGTGAAGGCTTCCTGTGCAGTGTAGTGTTCCTGACCCCCAAAGGGGGCGGGTCCCTGGGGGAAACCAAGGCAGCTACAGAGGCTCGCCTGGCTCCCGTTCCAGTGTATGCTGTAGCTCCGCTGGGGCAGCTGGAGCATGGGGAGCAGCCCAGTTCACTCATGGCCCGGCCTCTGGCATCCACGGGGCCTGGGCACTCATGTCTTTGGTCTGTGCCCTGCAGTCCTGAGGCCCCCCCCGGAAGGGGTTGGAAGGTGGAGAGTCCCAGAAAGGGTCTGAGTCTGGGAACAAGGTCCAGGGCGCCCGGCGAGGCACAGGCTGTGGCGAGGGCAGGGGCGAAGGCCGTGGCCCAGCTGACACGAAGCTCCACGGGTCGATGCGGCTGCGAAGGGGTGAGGGTCGAGGTCGGCTGATGAGGCCCAGGGGCGGTGAGCGTGGGGTGCCTGGGGTGCCAGGAGCCGAGCGGGATATCCCTGGTGGGGGTGAAACAGTGCTTCCTATGAAGAGTGGGAGAGGGGCACAGGATCAGGCAGCCACCTACTCTTGGACATCCCCAGGAGGCACTAGCCTGCTCTGGGCCTCAGTTTCCCCATCTGCACAGTGAGCTACTTGACTCATCACCTCCATGGCCCCTTATGCTCCATGGTGCTTTATGATGTAGTGGTTAAGAGCCAGGCCTCTGGAGCAGACAGGCCTGGGCTGGGAGCCCAGCTCTGTCATTTACTACTGGGAGCTGCAAATCCCTTGCTCTCTGGCCTTAAATTGCCTTATTTAAAAATGGGTCTAACAAGAACAGCTAGTTACAAAAATAAAGACAATCTCTGTAAAGCACCAGAAACAGTACCTGGCATAAGCGAGCAATCAATGGGAAGGAGTCTGCAATCATCCCCATGGTCATCAGTATAATTAATTCTGTTATTTTCACAACCACCCTGGTGGGCCCCACTCTACCAGATCACTGGGTGGCTCAACTTAGAATTCGGTTCCTTTCATGCCTGCCCAGCACCCAGGTGGTAGGTCCAGCAGGGGACGGTGGGCCTGTGGGCAGGGCTTTACTGCCCTGCATGTCCCCATCAGCCCTTCCTCTCCTCCCAGCACAAGCAGGGAAGACTCACCGCGCCTCTCTTCCTCGCGCCGGGGGCTCTTGGCTGATGGCTGGCCCGCAGGGACACTCAGTTCCAGGAGCAGGGGTTTGG